ATATTGAGGCAACATATCAAACACTTCGAGCAGAATGGTCTTAGGTGCTCTCGGCTTCAAATGTATCAATACATGTTCATCTTTCCAAGAATTTATCAATACATTTGCTAATGTATCGATACATTTTGCCCATATTGCACTTTTCTTGCACCTAAACTTCCAAAAATCTGAACTTAACATCCCAAAATCATTACCCTTTTTAGTCATACTTCAAAATGACTATCTTAACTCATAGTCCTCATTCATATACTCAAACGTACAATCAAATCTCAATCTAAACTTCAATATTAAGGATTTATCACCCATTCTTCAAAATTTTTGGCTACGTCTCAAGGTATTGTGTTCTAGTGTCACAATTAACATCCTCACCTCAATTCATCAAGAATGCTTAATATTTAAGCATGTACTCATCACACAAATCCAAACCCCCATTATGCTTTATGTCACATAGTATACAAATCAAATCTTAGGTCAATTTACATAAAACATCATATTTATCAAATTGCCTAACAATGCACTATACCAATCATGTGCCAAACATATGCACATCATTATTTTGAGCCTTCACATGTCCATATATCATATTCATTGCTCTATGGACATAGGCATACACTTAAACTCTTAAACATATGCACCAAAAATTCAATTTAGCCAATCAATTGGCTTAGCTATTTCATCATATTATATGAATCCTCAATATACACTAAAATTCAAAGTCTTTCTCTATAGACCACAATAGCTCATATGCACGCTCCATAAGCATATACATCAAGTTTCAAGTTTACTCATCAAATCACTTGGCCAACTCCACATTTAGATCATATCAAAAATCAGGGGTGTTACATATAAAAATCCAAATTTTGTGCTATAATGATCTTAAATATAAGAAAGTTATGATATGATAATTGCAAATTAGATGTACAAACAAACTACTTTTTTAAGGATAAACCTAAATTTTATGTAAATGATTAATGTATGGAATATAATTAGTATGTCTATTCCTTCTTAATAGAATTGAAGTTTAATTTATATTTATATAGTATTTGGTTTTTAGAAAAAAAAAAACCTTAACATCTAAGGAGAAAAATTGGATTATACTTTTAATTCGTAATAAGTTTTGGTCAAACATTTTAACATATTAAAGAAAAGATCACAATTTTTTGTGTTAAAAAAAATTTTGGAACTATTCAAAAAAATTTAAATAAGTTCTTATTTCTTTATTATATTAATCAAGCTCTTCTACTTTTATTTTAAGTCAAATAAGTTTTTATAATTAATAATTGATTAATTCTTATTAGTCAAAACATCAGTTATTATTTTATGTCACGTGACATGCTAATATGCTATAATGGATAATGATATGACATGATGACATGCTTAGGTGTCATTTTTGACTCTTTTCATTAATACCACATGAGTATAAAAATAAAAATCATAACGAACAAATGAATCGACGCGAATATGACATACATTTATTACATAGGATACACAATATCATATGATTAATACGTTTAAATACGATTAACTTATTTAAACATGGGAAGTTTAACCTATGTAGACAAAATTAACCTGTTATAATATGAATAATAAGTTATGTTATTTATTTGAAATATTAATAATAATAAAGGAGTTTAAAGTGTTAGATATGTTGAGTAACATAGGTTAATGGATTAAATAGATCATGTTCAGGTTAAGTGTCAAAGCATTAAGGTAGAGTTAATATTTTATGTGTTAAAAAAATTCATAATGTTTGTGATAAAAGGTAGAGTTTGATAGTTTTCAGTATTTACTAGAATTAATTTTCTTTTAATTTTCATTTCAACCCCTTTTAACCTTTTTTTTTTTTCTCCTAAACATTTTGCACCAACCATTCCCACTTGGCAGAAAATATTTCACCGTCAAAGCCGCGTATTGCTTGAACGAAACTTGGCCCATCCGATGTTTCAGTGAACCAAGATGAAAGATAATGCTTTGGCTTTGATCAACTAATTAAATTATTAAAAAATTCGTAGAAAATCAAGTTAGGTTTGCCAGATAGTCCAGTTGTTGCTATAGTATGGTATAGCCACATAGAGGATGCTTTATAAATAAAATAATGATTATTGATAATGACCAAAAGAATTCCTTCATGATGGGTAGGTGTGCATATGCATGAGCCAAATGTATATATACGGGGCGGTCTCTACCGATCAATTTACATGCATACATATATATACATACATGATTTTCAAAGGAAGTGCAAAATCGTGTATAAAAAATGAGATATTATACAATCAAATAAGTGGATTGACTTTATTTATTTTGGTGGTGTGAAGCGTTGAACCTTTCAAACTCTTTTAAGTTGTTCAATAATCCCTCTCCCTCCAAAACAAGAAGCACCTTTAAGTGTGAATCATTTGGGTTGTTGTTTCAAACTTTATTTGAATCCATTCATAATTGCCAAAGCTGGTTGGAGGGTGAAACCAAAGTTTTGAATACCCAAATTATGATTACTCCTATTTCTTTGCCCTGGTGTTTTTAATGTTGTGTGTTTGAGAGCCTAAACAGTCATTCCACTGTTGCCGTTGGGCTTAGCAAAACCAAACTAGGGAGCCTCTGCTTTTAAGACTAGGTTTTATCAACTGTTTGGGACGCATATGGTTTTGTTTTGCTATTAAAGTTAAGTCAATTATTTGAACAAATAATATATTTTTACTTTTTTCTATTTAACAATTAATGATTGTCACATAGAAATTGAATGACACCATTATTGTCTATCATCATCTATCTTTTCTTTACAAGGCTGAATTGTTATGTTCCCTTTGATATCAAATCCATAACAATTTGTAAATATCTGACTTAATTCTTGGATATGCCTATTTTATATTCGAGCTTGGAATGGGTTCAAGTAATATGTTTAGTACTCATTTCAAGTTTGGGTATTATTCTTTGAATACTCGATGTTGGGTACTCCAACTTGATTATAAATATTTTTTTTTATAATTGAAAAAATTAAAATTTGAATTTTATTTTTTAGACAAAGAGATTATACATCAACCAATAAAATAGATGTTTATGTATATTTATTTATTTTTTATTATTTAAATTATTAATAGAGATATTTTTAACATAAATTGTTGTTTAAATTTTAATTTTAATGTTTATTTGTTTTGATAAATTTAATTATTAATGAATTGTATATATACAAATTATGAAATATAATTATTATCTTATTCAAATATGAGTTTAGGTTCAACATTCGTGTAATAAGTTTTTTTTTCCATTATTGGATATTTAAATGAATTTCAATAATTAACAAGTAGTTAATAAAATATTATTATTGAAATTCTAATAAAAAATTTTAAAAATAATAAAATAGTTGTAAAGTTTGAATACTTTATATATTAATAAAGATCGAGGTAGAGTACCTCAAAATCACTTAGTACCGTACCCATCAACATATTTTACTGTAAAGCAACCCACGAGTACCAAAATTAATCCACAGTTAAAAGTTCACTTTTTTTCCATCCTTTTAGAAACAGAATACCATTAATAAGAAAACAACCACGTTCACACTAACTCTCCCTTCTCCCATTTTTCGATTCTCGTCTCCTAATTCCATGAGGTCCATCTAAACAATCTTACTTGCATTTCATTAGAATTTCACAAAGGTTGACAACCCACACAAGAGGTGCTTTCTTCATAATAGAACAGGCCACTTGTATGGATTTCATTCAACACAAGGTTCTTAACTACTTTAAAGTTTCTCTTTTGTTCCTTTAATAAAAGAGTAAAATAGTTTTATTTTTTAAATTTTGATCCAAATTAAATAAAAATTCATTAATTTTTAAAATAAATACTCTATCTAAAAAATACAAACATGTAATTATGAAAAAATTAAAATATTTTTGTATTAATTTAAAAAATTATTATATTTTTAAAAAAAATAAAAAAAAGCTTGATGCTCCCTAGATCAAGTTCCCTAAAGGAACACTAATGCTCCCACATGAGGAGGATTTTTTTTTAAATTAATAAAAATAATAAAAAATATAATAATAATTATAAAAATTAATTAAAGATAAAATTATCTTTTTACCTTTATCATATCAACAAGTTGATTGAATACTAATGGTTGACTAATTGAACCTACTTGTCTAGAGAAAAAGTTTTTTTAAGGCTAAATGTTCTTTTTAAAAATTAATGAATTTTTAAATAATTTTGATCAAAATTTAGAAAATAAAAGTATTTTACCTTTGATAAAAAGAAAAAAAATGATGTTGTAAAATTTTAACTTTAAATTGATTTGGGTATACATGTGTCACTTTATTGTTAAGAGAATAGAGCACTCCATTGCTAAAAAAAAAGTAATGGAGAGATCCTTTTCTAAAAATTTATTTTATTTTTTAATTATTAAATTATTATAATTTTCTTGATTTTTGACATTTTATTTAGTGAGTACTTTTTTATTAAAAAAATAAAATAATGCTATTTTACTTAAAGATTAGATAGTTTAAATGTTGATGTACTCATAAGAAATAAATATTTATAAATTTATTATCCATTTCGGGAAAAAAAACTTATTGACAGTTTGTTATTATTATATGAAAGTTTTTATATAAATATCATACTTTGTGATTTTTTTGAATTATTTTTTATTCAAGTTTTATTTTTTGTCATTAATTTATTTTTATTTTTATTCAATATTTGTGAAAAATAAAAAAATAGTATATCCCTAATTCTATAAATTTCAAAGTTATTAAAAAATTATGTAGGCAAGAAAAAAAAAAGGAAAGGAAAATGTTAAAACTAAAAAAAATAAGGGCACAGGTGAGAGAACGCGTGAGTGTCTGGCCAGGCCAGCCGGTCAAACTAAAAAACCAGAGAAAGAAGGGCCTGAATCGAAATACAACAGAGACAGGGGACAAAACTGAAAAATCGGGAAAAATCATTATCCTCATCATTATTAGCTTTTTGGGACTTAAAAGGACTATTATTTATCTCAATTACCCCCACGTCCCCACGCTCTCACCCCCCGGTTTTCGCCTCTCTCTCTCTATATCACCTGCTTGCTCTTCTCTCTCCTCCGTAATCCAAGCACATAAATGAATTAGAATTAAATAAGCTGTTTCGAGTCCGACACAGAGTCGGTGGAGAGAGAGGCATTTTTTTCCCATTTCCATAACCAAAAAAGCGATAGCCAAAGTCCAAAACTAAACACCAAATCCTCTCTTTCTCTCTTTCTCTCTCTCACTCGCGTCGCTAGCAATTTCTGGCACGCATTTAACGGAAACAGCGCCGCCGTGCTTGTCAGATACCGGCGAACCTCCGGCGACATTTCACCGTGATGTCAGATTCTGATCAGCAGGTCGTTCTCCTCTCCTCCCTTTATAGACTAATCTCTGCTTTTTACCCGTAAGGGAAGGGAAACGTCTACGTTTTCTTGGCATGTCAGTTCCTACGGAGAGCTAAGCAGCACTTTCGGTTTCACTGTTTTCACTGCATTCTCGAGTTCTTCTGCCGATCTCTCTTTTTTCGATGCTTTTTATTATTTCATTTAGTTGTTTTTAAAGAAATGTAACTTCAAAATGGAATCTAATTCTCTTTTTCTAGATTTGCTTTTCTTCAACTCTGCAGTAATCTCAGCTTTTTAGAAGCTGTTTTTTTTTTTTTTGGCTTTTAGAAATTAGATTCTTTCTTTTTGATTCGACAGATTCTAGTTTTTTTTTTTTAAACCTCAAGTTCGTTCTCTTTACTTAATTTAGAATAATAATAGTTTTTCTTTACTTTTTTTTTATCAGTTTCTCCTCATTGTCCGATGAGTGCAGTTGATTTGATACTTTGATCATTTGAAAATTAGTGCAGAAATTTGATAATTTAAATATAAAGAAAAATTTGCTGTTTTTGATCAGAGCTTACAGCGACATGTGATGTGATGCAACATTTGAGAAAAAGAGAATATTTTCTGAATTTTTGACTCTGCAAAATATTGGACTTGTCTTTACACATTCTCTCATTTTCATTTCCCTTCAAAATCGAGCTCACTTGTTCTACTTTTTTTTCTTTGCCTTAGAAGCCTCCCTGTCTTTGCCTTTTCAATTCCATTTTCTAGGGCGAGTTTTAAACCGGTTTCCGGGTATTGAATTTAGACCTACAATTTGATTAGTAAAGTAAGCAGCATGTTTGACTTGTAGGAGTAATGTTTTTTGAGTTGGTTAGGACTTAGGACTTAAAAAGTATAATATTCCTGCAATTGCATCATTTTGAGTCATTATTACTATTTTGAAGCTATATTTTCGCTTTCAAGTTTATTCTGTTAAATACAATCTCATTTAACTAATCTGTAACTTGGCTTTGACATTTTTCCTTTCTCTTCGGTGGACTTTATTCTTCTTTTTGTATTTTAAAGGATGAAAAACTTTGGAACTTAGTTTGAGGTTTCCTTCTTCTTTTTTTTAAAATTTGTGTGCTTAACAGGTGTTGAAATGAATGGGATTCAGAACCGGAAAGGGCAGAATATTGAGAAATTTCCAGGATGTTTGGGCAGGATGGTAAACCTGTTCGATTTGAACACAGGCATTCCTGGAAACCGGCTGCTTGCTGATAAACCACATCCTGATGGTGAACTCCTTTCTTGAAAAAGCTAGTGTGTTTATATAATATATACATTTATTTTGCTTTTCATCTACTTGGAACATTTTGCTATCTGGATATTGGGATGATTTGGGAAGAGTTGTTTTCTCAGTTGCCTTTTGATCAGATCAATCATGGTGTGGTTCTCATGATCATCACTTGTTTCAGTATTCCTTTTTTTATCTTCAATTCAATCCTTTGCAGTTTATTTTTTGGCCCTTGTTTGAACCAATTTCAGAACTCTATAAAATGCCATTTGGGAAAGTTAACTGCTGCATAGACCTTTATATTTTCTTACGAAATTTTAAAAGTTTCTAAAAGGGTTCGAAATTATGCAAGTCTTATTCTGATTACAGAGGTCAAGTTTTCTAGTTCATGTTGATTGCCTTATGTACTGATAATTACCTGTTCTTCCTTTTTCTGTGTTTATGGTGTTTTCTCACTGGTAGTTCTAAATTTTACCATTGTCTATATGAATTCACTTTAATATTCAATTGTATATATGAATCTATTGTTTCTTATTGATATTTTTGGTTGTTTATGCTTATATTATATATTTATCTGGCAACTGTTGACATGGTGCTGGTTTAATGGCAGGTTCCTCACTCTCAAGGAGTCAATCTGACGTAGTAAGGATGTTGAGCCCCTCCTTTGGAGATCAGATAGAGGATAAAGTGGTAAATACAGGCCATTTAATCTTTGTAATAGTAATTGTTATAATTTATGAACAAGTTGGAAGCAGAGTCTGTGCACAACTTGTCTTTATACATCTTCCACTTGAATTGTAATATTAAATGTATTTGTGTCCTGACCTGTGTTGCAATTTTTGGTGTGCAGGTTGTGTCTGAGTTAAGGAGAACTTTGTCAAACAAGAAAGCTAATGGAACACCAATGAAGATGCTCATAGCCCAGGAAATGTCAAAAGAAGTGGAGTCTAAGCATAATCCACCCAATGTGGTTGCTAAGTTGATGGGACTCGATGCACTACCCAGGCAGCAGCATAATATAGCTGCACAAAGACGCCATTCTAAAGGTTCTTCTCGGCATTCTTTGAGTCATTCTGAGATACCAGTGGAAGGCTGGGAGCGAGATCAAGGCTTTTCGGACAAGCAAATGCAATCTAAAGTAAATCTCTGTCAAGAGCTGAACAAATACAAAGATGTTTATGAAATCTGGCAACAGTCCCCAAAGACAACCAATGCAAGAGATAGCTCTCCACAAAAAGGGGGGTATAATGATAATGGGAATGAGAAAAAAATGGCTCTAGTTCGTGAGAAGTTCATGGAAGCAAAACATCTGGTGACAGATGAAAAGCTTCGGCAGACCAAGGAATTTCAAGATGCACTGGAAGTTTTGAGCTCCAATAGAGAGTTATTCCTCAAGTTTCTGGAAGAGCCAAATTCCACTTTCTCCCAGCATCTCTACAATTTGCAGTCTTTGCCTTTACCTCCTGAGACAAAGCGTATCACTGTTCTTAGACCCTCTAAGATGGTTGATAAAGAGAAATTTTCTGGAATAGGGAAGATGGGTGACAAACAGACAAACAAACCAGCGCGGATGGGTCAAGTGACTGGTTGGGATAGAAATAACACTGCATGTTCTCCTCCTTTCCCCAGTCCGAAAGTTGATGATTGTCCTTCCCAACCAACAAGAATAGTGGTATTGAAGCCCAGCCATGGGAAGACTCAGGACATTAAGACTGTGGCTTCTCCATCTCCCTCATCACCTAGGATATTACATGGTGAAGATTTTTACGAGGAACCTGAAGATGATGAAGCTCGAGAATCAAGAGAAATGGCAAAGGAAATCACTAGGAAGATGCGTGAAAATCTGATGGGTCATAGAAGGGATGAAACATTGCTTTCTTCTGTGTTTTCCAATGGTTACATTGGTGATGATAGTTCATTTAATAGATCAGAAAATGAGTATGCGGCAGAAAACCTTAGTGATTCAGAAGTCATGTCACCAACTTCTAGACATTCATGGGATTACATCAATAGGTTTGGTAGCCCTTATTCTTCCTCTTCCTTCAGTCGTGCATCATGTTCTCCTGAGTCCTCAGTTTGCAGGGAAGCAAAGAAGAGGCTTTCAGAAAGATGGGCCATGATGGCGTCAAATGGGAGTTCTCAGGAACAAAGACATGTGAGGAGAAGCTCAAGCACATTGGGTGAGATGCTTGCTCTTTCTGACACAAAGAAGGTGGTGAGATCTGAAGAAGAGGGAAGTAATAAGGAACAGGAACCTAGGGGATCAACTTCCTGCATAGTTAGTAATTTGGATAAAGAGGAAAGTACAAGTGATTCTCCCAAGAATCTTCTCAGGTCAAAATCTGTGCCTGTGTCTTCTACTGTGTATGGTGCAAGGCTTAATGTTGAGGTTTCAGATCCTGAAGCTGGCAAAGAACAAGTTTCCAAGGAACTGACAAAGGCAAAGAGCATGAAATCATCTTTAAAGGGGAAAGTTTCAAGTTTATTTTTCTCAAAGAATAAGAAAACAAATAAAGAAAAATCTAGTGGATCTCAATTGACAGATGGATCTCCATCTGCAACTCCTGGAACACCAGGGTCACCAGTAATTCATCCTCGAAAGAATAGCAATGATGCATCTCAGTGTGTTAGTGACAGTGGTATCCAGGAGTGTTTGTCTCCTGTTCTAGGTGAATCAGCAAGCAAAACTGCCTTACCAGATTTGACTGGCATGGGACAGAAACAAGGCATAATTTCTATGGAGGTAGTTCAAACGTCCTTAGTTTCTTGACCATGCATTTTATTTATCTTTTTTAATATATACATTCGTACATATATATATATATATGTATGTATGTCTGCTCTAGTTTTTCTGAACAGCTGTGAGATTTGACTGATATGATGGTCAAGATGGAAAATTGCAATGTAGTTTGGTTAATCTAGGAAGGGAAAGGTAGCACATGAACTAAAATGTTCCTTTCTCATTATTAGAAGTTGTGTGAATTCTGAATGGGTATATTTCCACTAATAGGGTTAGAATATATTTTGCTAATACAGTGGATTTTCGGTTCCTGGGGTTATGTGAATGGGTATAATTCCTCTAATGCTAGTACGATGGGTTTAGGACAATACAGCAATTTAAATTGTGAAACAATGTCTTAATCTGTCATGAACAGAAAAGAAGTCTTTTCTGCCATGGTGGCGGGCACAATCATGTTTTACAATTGAAACAGAAAATTAGAGCAACTAATTAAGGGTGGATCTCATATTTAAGAGTGTTATTATATTTCTATTTGTTAATTGTTCTTGGCTATGGCAAAGATCAATCATACACTTAGCTAAACTTAAGAGGTCATGCCCAATTTTATGAGCTAATCGCGGCCCTAAAATGCAGATTCTGGGAATTGAACTTGTTATAAGATTTTTTGTCTTCTAAATTTGCATACTTAATAAATTATCAATACCATGCTTACCTTTTGTAGGGAGGGTTGTCTGTAGCAAAACCTTCAGTGGCTGTCCATATAAGTGAGAATCAGGACCAGCCGAGCCCTATTTCAGTTTTAGAACCTCGGTTTGAGGAGGATGAGGGCTCAATTCCAGAGTCCTCTGGCAGTATCAAACCAGTGCACCGAGGTAAGCTTCAGTTGTTAAACTGGCGAATTTGTTATATGTCTGATTCTTGTTATCCTCATCAATTGTCCCATTCATTAATACAGGACAGGAGGTGCCACCTAAGTCTAACTTGATTGACAAGTCACCACCTATAGAATCGATTGCTCGCACCCTGTCCTGGGATGATTCTTGTTCAGAGACAGTCACATTATATCCATCAAAACACTCTTCAGTTTCGCCAGGTGCCAGGGAAGAACAGGATTGGGTTTTCTCTGTCCGATCACTGTTATCAGCAGCTGGTCTCAGTGGTGAGGTGCGGTTGGAGTCATTTATTGGTAGATGGCATTCGCCTGAAAGCCCGTTGGAGCCATCCTTGAGAGACAAATATGGCAACTTGAATGATAAGGAGCCTGTGCATGAGGCTAAGCGACGAGAATGGAGATCAAACAGGAAGCTTGTGTTCGACTGTGTGAATGCAGCATTGCTGGAAATCACAGGTTGTGGGTCGTCGGGCCGGGCCCAGATGAGGGTGATGGAGGGTGCATCAGGCCGGTTGGTTGACCATGTGTGGGGCCGAATGAAGGAATGGTTTTCGAGTGAGGTGAAATGTTTGGTGGGAGATGATGGGGACAGCAACAGCCTGGTGGTGGAAAGGGTGGTGCAGAAAGAAGTGGTTGGTAAGGGGTGGGCTGATCGTATGAATTTGGAAGTAGATAATTTGGGAAGGGTGATAGAGGTCACGTTGCTAGAAGAGCTTGTGGAAGAGGCGGTGGTGGAAATGAGCGGTAGGCTGTCTTGAGGCGTTCCCCTTCTGTGTTTTTTGCCTCTATTGATTGTAACTTTATTATTTTGTGCATTTGATTTTCCGAGAATGATGGTCGGTCCTTCCTTCCTACTACTTCCACTGCGCTGCCCACCTTATTTGTTTGATGCTGCAGGAATGTTTATTGTATATCACTAATGTTAATCTGATAAGTTGGTTTAATTCTCAAGGTTCCCCCACAAGACAACCTCGGTAATTTTGTGTCTAGCAGCCCCGTCAATGGAGCTATTTGTTCCCCGCGGGCTGTGGCCCGCCCCATGTGATCTGCCAGCCGTTTGGACGTGCACAAAGGACAAGCCACAACCACCCAAGCCCAGAGTGGAACATGGGAAAACCATTTTTAATTTTACCACACGGTGAAATTATAAGATTTTTACTTGCACAACAATTAATCTCATCCTTTTGGTTGGGGCCTGTCTGTCTAATTAAATTGTAATTTGTTCCTTTGGAATTGTTTTGGAGTGATTTTTAATTGGGGCAAGCGATGCTCAAATACCATCCGCATCCTAATATTTCTGGTTTCCTTGTGTTTTATGCTGGTCGTCGCGTCACTCTCAATTCTCATCTATCATCTTTGCGTGTGAAAGTGAAAGTGAAACTCTCAAGCCTGATTTTTTTTTTTTTTCTTTCCTTTCCTTTGTTGATAACGAGGATCCTTTAAAGCCCACCCATAAAGTTTGATGAAAGTCGTGTCTTCACAAAACAAAAGTAGATTAAGACCATTAATGGGGAAAACTCATTGAAAGAACCAAAAAAAAAAAAAAAAGTATTTCCCTGGTTGGGACGCAGCAAGAACAAGGATGGAATGAGGGAGGCGGCTTTCCAATGCTGCATGGAAAGTATATTATGGCCTCTTAAACTGCAAGGAGACAAATCTTTGAGCTTCAAAGCAATGTCCTACTTCCCTAAATAGTTTATGCATGTTGAATGTTGAAGCCTAGACTATCATATTTTCAGGCCCATCTCTGCCAGCCAACGAAGTTGATAACAGTCACACATCGCATTTATTAGGGCAATGGTGACTTGATGCGATCGGAATTTGGATGCTGCTTTACCTTAGCATCAGAATTTAACCAAACACACCCACGCCAGTTTTTGTGGTTTGGCCTTATCATTACTTGTGCTTCTCAAAACTGGAACTCTTGGAACCTAACAATTAGTTGACTTCTGAAAACGTTATGGAGTTGAAAGAGACTACACCGCTTAATCCTTTGAAATGTTGAAAATAGCTTCAGAGTCTTGAATGGAAGGGCAACTGACGCACCTCGGCTTCTTTTGTATCGTATTATTTCTAAGTGACTGTGTAACATATCTGAGATGGAATACATTTTCCTTCCTTTGATAAGTATATCTTTTTTATTAAAAATATGAAATCATGACATGATGTGAGACTTCTCTTATGAGGTATCAAGATTGAAATAAGTTCGTATGTTTATTGTATAATTAGATGAACTAGAAAACGAATAAATAAAAAATGAGATGAGTCTTGATTTATAGAAAACAAAGATAGACGAAAGAGGTTGTAGATTTTAATTTTTTTTAATCTAATGTGTGTAAAATTTAAAATATATTATTTTACCATTACTAAACAAATCAAATGACTTGATTTAGGGTAGTGGTAAGAAATCTAAATTAAATTTTGTAGGTTTCGTTCAATCTCTTCTAGGTCCAAATTTTGAAATTGATTTTTTTTTCTTTCCAAATCAAATAACAATTTATTTTGAAATTTTTTTTCTTTTTTTTTTAGCCACCAACTAAGTATAATAAATTTTTTAACTTGTAAAAATTTGAAATCCCTTTCTCCTCTCCAAACCAAATAACTTTTTTTTTTTGAATTCGCAAGTAATGTTTCTTTACATCCTAAATCATAATTCAATTTTAATTTTAAATTTACTTCATTAGTAATATTTGAATTTATAAAGATATTGTAATTTAATTATTGTTTTGTGTTTTTAATTGACACGGATTTAGTAATCGATATATTTTGAAATTATTTTATTTTTTCATTTTTTTTAGCCTCCAAATAAGTATACTAAACTTTTTAACTTGTACAAATTTGAAATCTCTCTCCTCTACAAATCAAATAAAAATTCTTTTTTTTAATTCACAGATAATGTTTCTTTACTTCCTAAATCTCAATTCAATTTTAATTTTTACACTTGCTTTATATTAGTAATAGTTGAATTTATAAAGATATTGTAGTTCAATTATTATTATATATGTTTAATTGACATGAATTTAGTAATTGATGAATTTGAAAGTATGAAAGCACATTAAGCATAGCTTACGATATTTAATGTGAAAATCTAATGTTAATTTTTTCTTTTGTTTTATGTCTATTTATATTGGTGAATTTGAAATTTTATATTTAAATTGTTAATAAAATTTTATGTTATAATTTAATTTTATTTCAATAATAATTAATTTTTTTACTCCGAAACGAATCATTGAGTAGATCCATGACTTTATATGATTACTTTGTAACCACTGTTCATACAAAATCCTAGATCTGCCACCAATAGTAAGAGTATTCTTCAAGCTAATAAACATGTGTTAAGTTAAAAATATGAGTTCTCTATCAAATGATATATATATATATATATATATATATATAGAAAAGGATAATGTTTTATTTGGTCTTCATTCATTCTTATCTCTTTTTATTTTGCCCCAAGACACTCTTCATCCACATCTTAGTAAGCATATGAGCAGTCCTTGAATAAAAATTGAGACTCCAATTTTGGAAGTTCTAATCAACAGGCAAAAATAAAGATGGGATTTAAGGGTGAAATCACATTGTACCAAAAGAAAGTAAGCACAGGACCCTGCTACTGGGAAACAAAACTAGATACGAGACAAATCTCGTGTCCGTTGGTCTCTCTTAATAAACTACAAACACTACAACAACTGCTTTAGATCGGAGCCCGGGAGTTGAACTCGTGAAAGGGACTTGGGTTTTTACATATGAGAAGGCACACAGAGAGAGGTCCCCTCATTTTATCTTGTTTTAATTTCCCTACCCATGTGCTCCAAATACTAAATCATACAACACAATTTTCCCTTTTTACATATTATCCAAATAATTTTTTAAATTATTTAAAAAAATTAAATAAATTTTTATTCTTTTGTTTTGTTGTGTTCAATCAAATTTCATTTTAGTTCAAACAAAGTTTTAATTGATTAACTATTGTACAGTCAAATATCACTTATAGACAAACTATAAAAAATGATACGTTGATATAACATGATAACATGATTATATAATATTTTTATTGTTAATATCAATATCATATCCACATTATATGAATATAAAATAATAATAACATTTTGGGCCAGAAGTACAAAAAACATTAAACAACTATAAACGGTCCTTCTTTTTTTTTAAACCTTCCCAGAGTAACCATAAATATCCTCGAATAGATCAACAAAGGATTAAGTTAAACTAAGATTTTACAACTTAAGAGAATTTCCTATCCTATGAGCAAAATTATTTGTAGAAAGATAAAAGCTTTCACCTGGACAAAAGACAAAAGGGGCGGAAACATCCCGTGAGAACTTTCCCAGAAAGTTGATGTGCAATTTCCTAAACCAACTGCTCCCAGCCAAAACCAGTGGATTGGCATATTCTAAGCTGCAAAATAGATGTTGTGACCTGGGAACCAAAAGGACAAGAAGGACCACCACATATACAATACTAACACATAGAGATATGAGCAAATTTAACATATTTAAAATAATCAACTGTATATTATAGGTTGAGAAATAGTACATCCAGTCTGACAAATGATTTTAAACGACCATGAGACCAAACAACAGACTTCTCATTTGTACAAAACTGTCAGTACCACCACATTCCATTGGGATAATCCTTCCATAGATACAAAGCAATATAATGAACATGGATCTTGAAGACCTATATACATCACAACTTTCTCCACAAAAGCAAAGAATAAAAAGGCTAGTGTGCAATGATATGTACTTGATCAGTTTGAAATACAGGATAGATTGCCGCCCATTCTTTATGATCACTGTTCTACTTGGACTTCATACTCCCAGATGCGTTCTGGTTTAGTAAATTATATTTATCAGCACTGTTGTATCTATCACCACTGTTCAGTCCGTACTGCAATACCAAATGCAATAGCATGATTTAGGAAAAGAATAACTAATATTTTTATGGAAAGATACAAGTAGAAATATAACTCAGCATTAATGAAAAGAATATCTTAAAACTTGTTTTGTTGACACGAATGGGTTTGAACAATAGAAATGCTCAGTGTTCTAGTGCATCGATGTTCTCCTTTACAATCTTTACAATTAAGAGTATCCTAATTCTTGACAAAACCGAGCTATAGATGTAAAGGGAATGGGAATCATTGATAATTGTCACAACTGAGCTAAAGACACAGAGCAGTAAACATAAGTATCAATAATAATAAGGCAAAAGCTTGTAAGGCAACAAAATGAAAATATTTAGTTTTCAGTCATTTGTGAGTCAGGATCAATCAATCAAGTCAGCCTTGTCAGAAGCATATCTGAAAGAATAATCACATTGACAGTTTATTTCTGACTGAGATTTCACATTGTGAGGCTGGTCAAATGGCACCAAGTTAGATCATTAATTTGTTTCAGATTAGACCCAATTCTCCAATAGATTTGTGCACAACAACTAATCACATAGCATGTAATAAGATCCACTAGACTGAAATCCTACTTCAAGGAACCATTTCCACAAATGCAATTATCCTTCAAGCGAGACTTTGATGATGCATATAGTCAGTCACTTGTAAGAGTGGATCTCAATGAGGTCAATGTTTTTGTGATGCTGGGTTAAAAAGCGATGAGTTGGACCATTAATTTGTCATACAATCACCAAAACATTGACATAGTATGGCAGTAATAAGATCCACTGTGCTATAAACCAACTTTAAGGAACCATATCCACAGGCCCCAGTCATGATTCAATCTAGAATGAGATGCTGCATAGTGGATTTCACATCATATAGAATAAACTAATAAAACAGAGAAAGAGTGAACTAGTTCAATATAACTAGCACGCCAGCCATCATTTTATGCTATAGATAAGTTATTAGCAATTAGAATGAGGGTACCTTTTCTCTTATTCGTGAGCCCCAGATGTCAGAGTGAGTTCCCTTGCCATCATTTTTGGCTGAGGTAGATGTGTGGCTAGACTGAGATTTTAGGAGTGGCTCCCAAGTTCTACCTCTAATATTTTCATAATCATCTTCATTGTCAACGTCTCTTCTCCCGCTAGAAACCATTGCCCGCAAAATTATTGCCACTAGCAAAGATAATGCCTAAAAGAATGCAGGAAATAAGTATCCTAGATTAAAGAAATCAGCAGACTTACTGAACATTTGAAAAAAACATATATATGAAAAAAAAAAAGAAAAAAGAAAAAGGAAAAAGGAAAAAAGAGCTCTTATCTTCTATTTCTCAAGTCCCCAGGAGATATGATTTTCATAACTACAAAACTTTATTAACAAATGAGGTTGTGATAATGTTAAGAATGTTCTCTTAGATTTTGAACAAACTCCAGATGGATAGTCTGTTCCATGTTGGCATTGGTCATCTGGACTTCCTAAACCCAGGCAAACTTTTACCTTCTCCTAATTCAAGAAGTTGTCACCTAACCATGTATTTTCAGTTCAGAACGGTTGGATTCATCTCAACAGCTAAAGAGATTTTATCTCAAGTGGACCTCTGCCAATTTAAGTTCAAACAGAATTTGATCTCCAAAAATAATAAAGGCTCTCCTCTTTAAACATATATCCTTCTCCACTCATAAATTTACAATTCATCCTGATTTGTGGTTCTGTGCAAGATAATTGGTTTTGATGCATCATCAGTTCATCATTTTCATTTCTTTCCTCCATGGAGTATGGACAGTAGATATCTCCATGTTGTCCCACAATGCAAAATGGTTATGATCAAGTAACACTAGTCTTCAAACAGAGCATCCTGTTTTCAAGCCCATAAAAAGCTGATTGCCTTGTATCGTGGAGTTGTGATATTTCGAGTCTACTGCAATTAATGTAAGATAGTATAGGAATTCTGACGACTTGCACATTCATCTGGAGTTTCCAATGGACAGAACTATCAATATCTTATTTCTGTGGACTGAGGCTACATCATTTTGGCTTCAACGACTAAGTGTTTTGGACAATCATTTGCCAAACATAAAAAAATCCTGAACATGCACGTCTGCTTATCTTTAGTCTTTGGTTAGCCATGTTATATCCCTTTAGCAATTTAGGCTTCATTAACAGGCCCTAGAAAACCATACAATCCCAAATTTCTATTCCACAAAAATGTTCCCATCTTTCCCTTTAAGCTCTCCAAATGTGTCAGATCATTCCAAGTCTCCTTTCCACCAAAGTGTTCCTGCAGGCTGATTTTTCCAATTCAGCCAATGTTTGGTCATTAAACCTATATATATCAACTTTAGTTGCTTCAAGAAACCTAGTTCCCCTTTCAACCACAGCTATAAACTCTATATCTTTAATTTGGGCCATCTACCAACTTGAGTAGACTGGTTCTATTAACCTGCCCTTCATCCCAAAGAAGTACATAATACATCAGTGAGAATTTCAACAAAAAATCAGTATAGACCAGCTTAGTTTGCCTCTACCTAATCTATTTACAGGACAGGTCATAAAGTGGTAACTAACATGAAGGATGGGAAGCAGTTACTAAAAAGCCCAAGATTTATAACATTAATCATATACAATGCATTACCTATAATTGTTCATCCTCACCCATAACTTGGCTATCAACTCTGTTCTTTTCTTATGTCTATTGGAAGCACACCATAAATTATGCACTTACAATCTCCCTTGTAATAAACCATCACAAACTGTATACACAGCAAACCTATCTTTTTTACCATGGTTTAAGATGGAGCAATATATTAACAGAAAGAAGAAGCTCTGCAGTTCAGAATTGCCCAAAGAATTCTTCCCCGTTGTCATAATCCAAATCTCTTATAAATGAAAGGCGAAAGTACATGCCTAAAATGGATCCTTATATTTTTAAGGAAAGATCTTTTTTGTTTCATGTCAATTTTAACAAGAAAATATTAAAGAAAAAATGAATTATAACGACCAAAATAACAAACTTGGTATATTGTAAGCTACAATCAAGTTGTGGTTAAGCAAAGGTGGTATCTTCTTATCATCCCATATATAATCACCTGTAACTTTATCACCTCAACAAGGAACAATAGACCTAGGATTTTATTGGGTTGAATAATTAATTTGCCATGCTACTAGTACCATGCTGCAAAAACATTGCCATAATTTTGGAACATGCATAATTTTAGCTTTCATATAATCTTTCCCACAAATACATGGTAAGATTTGAACCAAAAATGTATTTCAACCCCAGCCCCTACCAGTTCAACTGACAATGTCAATATAACACCAGGGTAACTAAATTATGATATTATATTGTTTCTGAGACATGCGTCAGAGATCTACCCTTCCATCCAATCAATCATTGAGCAGAAGCCCAAGGGTTATGTAACCAAGGCACAGTTCAGTGCTGGCACTAGAAAGTGCAATGGTAAAATACAAAATTGAATTTTTTTTTCCCACATTTGAGATACTCCAAAACCTTTTCAGAAGATCATTGCATATTCCCATTATGATGGAATTCATAAATCCTTATGACCATAAATGAATAGATCTTCATCTAATGAAATGTCACAAATCACAAAGTATGTGCTCATTTAGTTACTGCATTTCTTTCTGTGAAACAAAAACAATCAATTAATTTAGTAAGTTATAAAATGCTTGAAATCGTGGGCTAAATGATGCAGGAGCATTCCAAAACTTATTTAAATTAGTTGTCTTCATATGTTCTGTTGTTTTACTGTTTTTTACTTAAGTAATCAGTGTTTTTATTTTAGTAAGTGGTCATTTGATTAGCATGTGATCTTTTAAGAGTATGAATGGCTAGGATTGGATTGCTTTTTTGTGTATTCTTGGGCTACGATTAAAAGCTGCTGTAACCCTAATATAATAGTCTTTTAGACACATTAAGCAGCCGTATTACTTTGGATTATTTTCTGTCAGAGGTTCTACAACTCTAAACCCTAGTTATCTTGTTTTTACTTCGATTTTACATAAATTTTAGCCTTTGTTCTGGTGTTCTTTTTATTGCTTTTACTTCCGCACTACATCAAAGTGGTATCAAAGCAAAGAGATCCTAAAGCTAAACCAGGGTTTTCGCATATGAACCATGACTGATTGAGGTACAGGACACGGAAGAGGAAATCAGGCCCAGCAAACAGAATTGGCAGAGTTGAACATATGATTGAGGGTTGTGCAAACTTTACAGTGACAAGAACCAATGGGAGCGCATATGGAGAATCCAAAATGCAACCACAGCCCTTTGGATTTACTGGAAGGTGGTCTTTAGAATGAAACTGGATATAGAGAGGTTAAAACCCTTTTCATAATGCTGGATCACCAAACCTTGCTGTCCTTATTGAATTGTAAGAGTGGTTGTTACATGCTCTAGACTTGAATGTGTAAAGGTTGATGACTTCCAAGGGAACAATGCAGTAACTTACAGAGTACAAAGCAGTTCCGTTACTGGTACTTTTTAGACAGAATGTGAAGAAGGCAAGAGGAGGAATTACAATCAATATATGATGATTATATGAAGATGAGGAATTATAGCCAGTTTATGATGATTATGAAAGACAATGAGGAAGTTGATGTTTATCTAATTCAAGAAGAGTCAGCAACAATGGAGAAATTTGAATTAAAGAGTAAAGATAGCAGAATTGTTTATGCTTTAGTTAGCAAATTTGTGCAAGATGACTTGAAGGGTGAATTACCAAGCATCCTTATGAAGTTCAACAGTTGTTAGAAGAGTTTGAAGAGCTGAGTGATAAGGAATTGCCTGTTCTAACACCAATGAGTAGTGACCAACATGCTATTGATTTGGTTCTAGGCGTTTCATTATTAACTATGCGGGTTTGTAGAATGCCTCCATTGCAGCAAGCTGAGATGCAAAAACAGGTTGAGGAGTTGCTCACCAAGAATTTGGTACCGGAGAGGAACAGAGCCCACAAGACACCAGATGGGTTTTATGAATGGTTAGTGATGCTATTTGGTCTCTCTAATGGTTTAAGTACATTCATTCAAGTTATGACTACGTTACTAAAGCTTTTCTTGAACTTGTTGATGGATGTTTGGTTTATAATATATCTATGGAAGAACACTTAAGCCACCTTCGGCAAGTTTTAGAAGGTCTTCATATAGAGAAACTCTTTATAACTTGAACTGCTCTTTTGTGTGCTATGAGGTTGAGTTTTTGAAATCTATAGTCTCGCCAAATGGATTGAACCCAGATTCAAAGAAAGTGTGCACCATGAGAGAATGGACAACACCTAAATCAGTCAAAGAAAGTCAAAGGTTTCATGATTTACCCCTGTTTTATAGGTTTCATAAGGAAGTTCAATTGTTTTTTGAGCCCGATCACTAAATGCTTGAAAAGGGACAGCTTTGAGTGCCCAGCTTCTGCACAAAGGGCTATTCAGCAGATAGAGATTTTGATGACGGTGGCAATGATTCTTGTACTACCAGATTTTGAGAAGTTATTTCTTGGGGAGGATGATGCATCACTTGCTGAAATTAGATGTGTTCTTAGTCAAGAAGGAAGGCCAGTCAATAGAAATTGTAGTGAGCAATAAGAACTTAAAATCAATGTTCAAGTGATCCTTATTTCAACTTAAGTATGGTAGAGTTGAGTAAACCAGCTAGTGAGAGTACTTAGATCATAGAACACAGACTGAAAAGGACTGACCTAGAAATCTATGCTAATCTTTGTAACTAATGAGGAAGACCTTTTGTCAACCTGAGGAAATTAATGCAGGATATTCTATAACTTATTTAAATTAAGTGTCTTAATATGTTCTTTTATTTTTTACTGTTTTACTTTGGTAATTAGTGTTTTTATTTTTATCAAGTGGTTATATGATTAGTATGTAATCTTATAATGAGTTTGAATGGTTAGGATTAGATTGGGTTTAGGTGTATCCATGGGTTAGGACTAATAGCTGCTATAACCTTAGTATAAATAGTCGTTTAGACACATTAGAAAATCATACTATATTGGAATATTTTTCTGTTAAAGGTTCTACTACCCTAAACCCTAGTTATTTTATTCCTACTTCAATTTTACATCAAATTGTGCCTTTGTTCTGGTTTTCTTTCACTGTTTTGGTTTTCTTTTTTTTTTTGTTTCTACTTCTGCACTACATCACTAAACATACCTGAACTATGACGACACTGATGCCAACCCATTTACATATATCAATGTTGTCCTCAATGAAGGATCGAAGGCTATCAAGTTCTCCAGTTTCATCAAATGGAATATCCTGTCATAAAACACAGTCTTTAGTAATAAATAATCATATGCACAAGATCAAAGCCATAGCATCTCTTGACAAACACAATGCACCAAGAAAAGATATACCTTCTCCCAGTGACGATCAATTGCAATAAATGCCACCAAAGCAGCTTCTATCAAAATGAGAACAATTTTGAGAAGAGTATACTGGCAGTTTGATCAAGTTAAGGAAGAACATGTAATAGAATGCATTCCATTGTATTATTGGTAGGGCAGAAACAACTCTAACACTTTAATGCTTGTTATAGAGCTTTATAAATCACCAAGTAATTAGTTTTAGAGAGAGTTACCAGTGAATACATAGAAGATGAAAAACTTAATTTTGTGCTTAAAGTTTTGATCATATCTTAAGCACTTTGTCTTCTCCTGCTACTGCCACTTCTAGGTAGACAGAGCATAAGTAAAGCTAATGAACTTAAAACTTCAATATAAAAAAAACCATTATCTGCAATTTGCAAATTTTATTAAAAAAAAAAATCATGCTAGTCTCTAGGTATACATGTTCAGAAGAGCTGCAGCAACATCTCTAAGCCAACTTCATTTGAAAAGAATATAAGACGTTATCTATATTGGATACAAAACACAGGCAGCAGCCATTAACGGATTCTGCTGCTATGCAACCAATGAAAGTAATGCAACATAGCACAATGCCCGCTCCCATAAAGGAGTAGATGAACCTGCAGCAAAGAAGAAAAGCACCAAATTAACATTTGTCTGAGTATTCCCAATCCCAAACATTCAACCACAAAAGCCAACAAAAGCAAACGTTGTACCACCAATCATATCAAATAAGGAATTGAAAGAGACATGACCCAAGTGGCAAGCAGACACAACCAAGTTTTGAACTGTCATAGCAGTGAAATAGAACATCTAATACTACAATAAAAAAAATGGAAAACCCTTACTGTTTATACTTGTTCCATAAAGAAAAAAGGGGCCCAAAACAGGGCACTCATCATTCTATATGTTCTGTCTTAAAAGGTAAGACTTCGAAGTACATGATTCAAGATTTAAGGTTATAAACTTCAAAGTGACCTTATTTTCAATTACTAAAGCCGGTCTTATCAAACTCCTTCTCAAACTTTTAAAGCTTCGCCCTTTCGTTTTGTTGCTAAATTATCGCTATTAGCATTTAATGCAGCGTCTACTTCAAAATCCCTTTAAATAATTGAATTACAAAAATTAAAAAAGATTAAAATAGAGTAAGTACCAGGGAGCAGGTAGCTTAACGGAGCTCAAGTCAAACCCGGCGCTATTATCCAACCCGGATGCCAAACCGACAACGAAATCATCGAAAACCCTAGCTGCTTGAGCTCCGATCTCCGGTCTCGTATTGAAGTGGACCGAAAGAAAAGACTCCGGCGACGGAGCTATAGGCGGCGGATAAATGGGGACGTGATGTTTCCACTGATCCAGCATCCATATCGAATAGAGTATGATCGATACTCCTACGAAAGCTTGGAGAAAATTCAAGAATTTTAGAACAAATGCAAACGAAACGTGGCAGCAATTGGGCCTCATTCCCTAAGATTTCAATCGATTTCGATTTCCTCTTTCGTTTATGAGAATTGAAAACCCCTAATTTTTGGATGATTTTGAAAGAGGGCTGAGATCGAAGCTGCGGTTTCGGATTTGATTATTTTGGCGTTTTGCTTGTAAAAGCTTTCTGTCTTTTTCTGCTTTTTTTTTTCTGGTGTTTTACAAGTCCAGATGAAATGGCGGGGAAGTACTCCGAAGATATTTTGTATAAGTGAATTTCTTTTGGTTATGTTTTTTTTTTTTTTGGTAGTTTAGTAAATTACCTCTTTATTAATGCTTTATTTTAATTTATTTTGAATTTATCACAATATACTTTATACATTGCAGGACACAAGAGCTTTACTATTATTTCACTATTTGAATTTCTATTTACTTAATAATGCGACATGAATTTTATACTAATTTATCTTAATTATATAAAAAAAGTAAGAAACTTAACAACTTCAATCTCAGAAATCTAAACAAACTAAATGGAGAGATTATTTGCTTTCTTCCTTGCTTCGATTTTTTGCTTGAGATATCATATTAATTCACTCATCACTTTTGGGTTTTTGGGTACTTACTTGACTGTTTGAAAGTGAGGTTTGGATGTTTTAAAGCGAGACTGACAGGTCTATTATTTTGAAGTTTGGTTGTTTTCTATCTTACATTTTACTTATTCTTATTTACATTTTAGATAACATGAATCGTACTTACAGTTTACATTTTGTTGTCATGTTAGGATGTAGTTATTTGAGTTTCATATTTAGTTTGTTCTAAAAGAAACAATAAAGTCTTCTTCAAGCAATAATGCACTAAAATATGAGTTTTAATTTCAAAACAAATATTGTAGGTATGGTTGTATAGTTGTTGTTGGGGATGTCAATGGGTACCCTATTCTAAGATACCCGAAGATACTTGACCCTTGACCCGATTATATCAAATTAAGATATCTTATAATTGAATTTGGGATGAGTTTGGACAATAATTTTACTATCCGTATTAGATTGGGGCATCACTCATTGGATACCTACTACGAGAACCCGATTATATTAATATTCAGGTTTTGTGGGTACCCATCCAAAACCTGATTCTAATACCTAAATATATATTTTACATTCGAGTTTCGCGGATACCCGCCCCGAACCCGACTCTAATACCTATATATATTATTATTATTTAAATAATGGAATAAAAAAATCCACTTTTGGTAGTGTTTAAATTCAAACCCAGGTAAGGAAAAAAGGCAATTAAAACCTTTATCATCTCTACAAATAATTTCTTTTAATAATAATTGACAAGTATATTAAAACACATGATTAGTCAAATTATTAATGCGATGATATTAATATATTTAAATTAAAAAATTATTAATTATATTTAAATAATATGCATATCATATCATATTACAAAGAAATATAATTACTAGTATATATATTTTTAATATAAATATATTTACTTTTTATTTTGTGTTAACATAGTAAAAATTATAATTTAAAATATATATACTTAAAGAGAGTCTTTGAGATTAGAATAATTTTGAAATCTAGCTATTTTTTTAATTTCATGTAATTAAACACAAACCCATATAATTAATTAAATTAATTCATGAAATTATGATTATTAATTAACTTGGAATGTATATACATTATATAACAACCTCTTCCCTCGATCATTAACGACGTTCGAGACTTACGAGTGAACTCGTCAAATCCCGAACAAGCCTTAGTTAAGCCTTTAGACAATTTAAACTCAACTTACAATTTTAACACCATAATTAATTTAAACTAAATAATCACAATATTTAAAACGTGGCATCTGGATACTAATAACCAGGTTTGATAATTCCATACAATTTCAACATAATATGTAATAATCATTACATAACTTTAAGTTTTAGCAAATACATTTTCAATAAACTATTAATCATTATAAGTCTGACTATTTGACATAACCTGACCTCTAGGCAGCGGAGCAACTCGGAGTGAAAGTCTAACAGATGCCATTACCTAGATTGTAGTCGGTCTCGAAGTGCTGAACAATGCACTTGAATTGATTACCTATATGCAAAAGAAAATAAAGGGGGTGAGTCTCACAGTCTCATTGATCATCAACTCCGTAAGTAGGGCATAGATAGGAAACAAGCTAAAGGCAAAAGATTTGAATATTAAAAATATAAGAATATATGTAAACAATTCACTCGAAAGGGGAGGTTTATGCCTTCTATGAAAATAAGCAAGTTTATGCTAAATAATCATTTAAATCCAATATCAACGCAAGCCATGAAAAGATTCCTACCATCGAAATTACTTAACATCCGGTTTAAAGTAATTTAATGGCATCACGCATGCTCCCATAAAATCCAACATTTTACAAAGCTTATGTGCAAATTCATAAGATACCTCGTACGCAAAGAATTAAATCAAAATTTATCATATAAGTAAGGGAGTAGCAGAAAAACTATTATTTTTCACCATGCGAAAACTATTTACGTGAAAAACCCAAAGAGATATCACTCTTGAGTAGGTGTAGAAATAAAGACCACGTGGACTTGCTTCCACTTAATAACATCCAGGAGCTCCATTCCACCGGATCCCCACATGCCATGGTAGTCTCAACGATGTTGGTCGACATCAGAGAAAATCAGTCGGTCGCAATCGCGTATCACAACTTGTGGCTTAGCCACGTAAAATCACAGATCCTAGCCCCAGCCATGTCTAACAGCCCGTTGGTGACCCAAAGGTTCTCTAGTTAGAGCTCACTTGTGCACAACGGTCACACTTAACCGAAGTGACAATCAACCTACTCTCGAATCTCTCGGTTTGATAAAACCATTTTAGAATATAGTTGGGTTCTCAAAAGTTTATTTCAAAATCATTGCCAAAATATTCACGTAGTAACATGATAAGATCCCTTATAAGACTTTAAAATATAACTCTTTGTATGAGGTTGAAAGATCATTTAGCATGGTGGATATGTGTTTCAATCATGAATGCACATCGCATAAACTATAAGGCACATACTTGACATAAATCATATTAAAAACTTGTTTTTCAATTTCAAGAACCTTTATATATATATATATATATTCAAAGTCATTTTCAAAGTCATAACATCCACAATTTCTTAACATTTCTATCAACTTATGCTTTCCGTAATTTTTCATTAAAATAAATCAACACATATTTATATATATATTTATATAGTTATGGGAATTTTTAAAATAGACACCCCCTACTCACCTCATAATAGCGAGACATTACGTCGCTATTAATTCGAGTATGCAATAACTAATACTATGTGTCGATCACCAGTTATTCCTCTACTTATATGCTTCCTAGCAGCCATCCAAACCCAATTCACTTAATTGCATGTATACATGGCAACAACTTAACCAACAACTTTCTTACCCAAATTTCATAGTAAATCCCATGCTTATACAATCATACATGATAACAATTTTTACCAAAGAATTCTTCAATTTTTGTATGCATTCAACCAAACTAACAATTTCCACATTCCTTACCTTGAAATGTTTAAGGCAAACCACCAAGCTCTCTTTAGGTTCGGTTATGGGGGAGGAAAAAGGAAAGACAACTCATGAGGAGGAAGAAGAAAAGAAAGGAGCATAAAAGAAAAATGGTAAGACTTGATGCATGGTTTTCCTTTGGAGGTGAAGCCACGGTTGAAGAAATGAACAAGGAAGAAAAAGTGGCATTTGAGAAAAAAGAAAAAGGATGCATAAAGTGATGAAAAATGAAGGTTCCGAAAGCTCATTGAGATAAGAAGATAAATAGGAAAAGTTGGTATCAATTGGCCGGCCAAATGGAAAGAAAAAGAAATAAAAGTCAAAAGAAAAAAATGAAAGCTTTTCACTTAGTCAATGTGTAGTAAAATTTCTTGTCTCTTTCCTTTTCTTCCCCCTTCCTTTTTCTTTTTTTTTTTTTAAATTTGCACAATTTCCAATAATCTCACATGGGAGGGCAGGCCATGAAGAGAAGAAAGAAGAGTCAAAGCTTTCTTTGGGAGCTTTGACCAAGCTAAATGATAAAATTACCATTTAACCCTCTTAAGTTTTCATCCTTTTTATTAAGTCCCCCATCATTCTTTAAATTTCAATTTTTTTTTTATTTTCCCTCATTGACATGTGTACAAATATAATATAAGATTTGCATCCCATCAACGTGTCACCATAATATTTAAATATATACTTACTCATTTGTGTTCTATTTAATAAAGACACGCGGGTCCTTCTAACCTCATTTTTCTTCTGAATTTTTTTTCTTCTCTCCCACTTAGATTAATCATATAACCCTCTCTTTTAACTAATCTCACAAATAAATAAAATATTATTTTATTTCAAAATATTCTTTTTACTTATCACTGTTCTCTAACGCTTAGATTTATGTCAAATAACCCTTCTTCTCATTGATAGAGTCTTATTAACTTCTAAACGAGGGTACGTGATGTTACACATTATATATATATATATATATATTCACACACATTATGATTATTAAATATATATACATTATATACATTGAGTTCATTTATAAGAAATATAATTACTATATTATATACATACTAATACTTTTAGTATATATATTCTTTAAATATAAATATATTTACTTTCTATTTTATGTTAACATTATAAAAATTATAACTAGTAAAATTATAAATTGCAATATATATATATATATACACACTTTATAATATATAACTTGTAATGTCTTTTAACACATACACTTTATATTATATATTATGTTCATCGATAACTAATATAATTACTATTATATAAGTTAATAATTACTAAATAATATATATACATTTGTTTATATAAACTTATATTATATAAACTTAATTATCTAAAATGAAGTTGTGAGATTAGAATAGTTTTGAAATTTAGTTATTTTTTTAATTTCATGTAATTAAGAACAAATTCATATAATTAATTAAATTAATTAATAACATTATGCGCGACCCGGGGGCCCGCCGCGGCTCGTCCCCCGCGTGGGCCGCCGGCGGGGAGCTCGGCCGGGCCCCGGCGCGGCTCGCGGCCGCTCGCGCCGGGGCTGCGCGCCGGGCGCGGCCGCCGCGGCCGCGGCGGCGCGCGCCCCCGCGCGGGGCGCGGCGGCCCGAGGGGGTGGTCGGGGCCGCGCCCGGCGCGCCCGGGGCGGCGCGGCGCGCGGCGCCGGGCCCTGCGGCCGCTGGCCGGCCCGGCGCCGCCGCGCGCCGGCCGCCCCGGGCCGCCCCGGCCAGGTCCGCGGGCGCCGGCGGCGCCGCCGCGGGGGGCCGCGGCCGCCGCGCGGCCGCCGCGCCGGGGCGCGGGCGGCGCGGCGGGGCCGCCGGGGCGGGCGGGGGGCCGGGGCGCGCGCGGCGCGCTCGCGCGGCGGCGCCCGGCCGGCCCCCCCGCGCGTGCGGGGCCGCGCGGCCGGGCTCGCGGCTCGGCGCGGCGGCGGGCCCGACCTCCGCGGGCCGGCGGCGGGGCGCGGGGGGGCGCCGGCGCCGGGGGTCAGCGCCGGGCCGCCGCGCGGCCGGCGGGGGGGGGGGCGCGGGGAGCGGCGCCCGGGCGCGTCGCCCGGGGCGGGGCCCGGCGGCTCCGGCGTGCGCGCGCCGGTGCCCGGCGGGCGCTGCCGGGCGATTATTAATTAACTTATAATGTCTTTTAATATCTACACTTTATTATATTTGGGTTCATTTATAAGGAATACAATTACTGTTATATATAACACTAAAATACTTTTAAATATATACTTTAAATATAATATATATTACCTTTTATTTTGTATTAACATTATAAAAATTATAACTTATAAAATTATTAATTATAATATATATATATATACACAATCTATAATATATAACTTATAATGTCTTTTAACACATACATTTTATATTATATATTATATTCATTTATAAAGAATATAATTACTATTATATAAATTAATAATTGCTAAATAATATATATACCCTTGTTTTTATAAACTTAATTATTCAAAAAGAAGCTGTGAGATTAGATTAGTTTTGAAACTTAGCTATTTTTTTAATTTCATGTAATTAAGGACAAATTCATATACTTAATTAAATTAATTAATGAAATTATGATTATTAATTAACTTGTAATGTCTTTTAATATCTGTACTTCATATATATTAGATTCATTTATAAGGAATATAATTACTATTAATATATATACTAAAATACTTTTAATATATATACTTTAAATATAAATATATTTACTTTTAATTTTATGTTAACATTATAAGAATTATAACTTATAAAATTATTAATTATAATATATATATATATAGACACACACAAACACGTTATAGTATATAACTTGTAATGTCTTTTAACCCATACACTTTATATTATATTTATGTTCATTATAAAGAATATAATTACTATTATATATAAGTTAATAATTATTAAATAATAAAATAATATTAATTTTTATTCTCAAAAAATAATAATATTATTGATTTTGATAATTTAATAACAATATATTAAGACTAAAAACCCTAGCCACTCTTTTCTTTTCTTTCTTTTTTCTCTTCTAGCTACTCCTTCTTTTTTCTTTTCTTCCCTCAGCCAACTACTTCTTCTTTCTAATAGTTCTTTTATTCCTTCTTCTTTTCTTTCCCCAGCCAGCCACTCTAATCTTCCATTCTTGTCGTTCCATTGTTGGTCCTTCATTTAGGTAAATCATTAAATCTATCTATTTTTATTTTTTGGGCTGGAATTTATTCTATAATGAAATATAATATTAAGTTCAAATAAAATCTATCTAGGCATTCTAAACCTAAGTTGCACCTTTTTTTTTTCTTTTGTCAAATGTAAGTTTTTGACAAAAGGTAAGTATTAAAGACAGGGGAGATGAATCCATCCGAACCATCATAGTTGAAAATCCTCAACAGAAAATTGCAATTTCTGGCCTATAAACCGTTTTCACAGGCTAAGTGTTTCCATTAGAATCAATTTTCTGTTTATTGTTTTTATTTCTATGGGAAATTTTGAATAAGTATGTGGCAACTTTAGACTAAAATGCAAAGCTAGAGGGTTTTCTAGCATTGATCTGGATGTCAGACTTGAGTCAAATGATGGCCCTTAATCCATCAAAATTATATTGAAGTTGTTTCTTTAGATTGGTAGTTGTTTGTTGCTTAAATCTCATGTGACATTGCCAAAGTCAAACTAAATTATAAATGTAGTATTAAAGCAGGAATACGCAAAACTATTCTTTTTTTTTATCATAAAAGTTCCAACTTTCAATCAAATAGAAACACAAGTGCACATAGAGAAATATCCATGCATCCTACTATTTTTTGCTTGCTAATTTGGCTCAATATCAATACTGGCGAGCAGTTCTATGTTCATGGGTAAACAATTTTGTTCATGTGCAATAGAAATCATGTATGTTCATGTGTTATTGTGCTGTACTTATTTTTTCAAAATTGATTTAGACATTGATTCTATCATTTTTATGTTTCTAGGTCTTTTTAAAAATGGACATAGTTCAAAATTATGATGATAGTATTAATTATAATTGCAAGAAGACACTTTCTCAATCGTCAGCATATGTACGGTCAAGTTGACTCCAAGTACATTTAATTGAGCCTTCTAAAACTCCTGCTAGTGGTAGTCAACCTTTGACATTGCCTATTGGTAGTAAACCTCCATCAAGTAGTTCAAGTACCAAACATCCTTGCAAATTAACTTCAAAGGTTTGGAATCATTTTAAAAAGAAAAATATCGATGGGGAAAATGTGGCAATCTGTAATTATTGCAAAGCTATTCTTAAGGCCAATAGCAAGAATGGAACAAAAGCTTTAAAAAATCACATGAGTACTTGTGCAAAGAGAAAAAATTCAAGCATTGAACAATGCTTTGAAAAGCAAAAGCAACTTGGCATACATACACTAGCTAGTAAGAAGGTTTAGATTAGAAATTACACATTTGATCAGGACATTTCAAGACATGAGTTGGCTTGTGCTGTAATCTTGCATGAGTATCTGCTTTCTATTGTTTCTCATGTTGGTTTTAAAAAGTTTGCTAATATTCTTCAACTCATGTTTAAGATGGTTTCTTGCAATATAATTAAATAGGACATTCACAAGATTTATTGCTCAAAGAAATCCAAGGTACAAGGGTTTGAGAAGTTAAAAAGTCGAATAGCAATCACGATGGATATGTAGACTTCAAATCAAAAGAAAGGTTACATGTTCGTTACTGCTCATTATATTGATGAATCTTGGGAGTTGCAAAGCTATATCTTGAGGTAAGCAATTTTTATTCTAATCTTGAAATTGTGTTATGTTATACATTAATGGTTTTATGAAAAAATTTAAGTAAATTCATTAATATTATTTTGTAGATGTGTAGATTTCTATATATGCCAACATCTCACACCATGGATGTTCTTGCTCAAGAAATGATGAGTGCTTTGATTGAATGGTATATAGAGAGCAAACTTTCTACAATCATTGTGGATAATTGCAGCTCCAATGATGGTATGATTTTTATCCTAGTGAATAACTTGGGTTGTGAACTTGTACTTAATGGGAGAATTCTTCACAGGAGATGTTGTGCACATATATTGAATCTTGTTGCAAAAGATGGATTATCTGTGTTTGAAAATGTTCATGATAATGCAGTATAGTGGTCAGCTAGTCCATCTAGATTGAAAAAATTTGAAGAAGTGGCTTGTCAAGCTAAAGTGTCATATTCTAAAAAGTTGAGTCTAGATTGTAGAACTAGATGGAATTCAACTTATGTGATGATTTAGGTTGCTATAGGATACAAAGATCTCGTCCTTGATTTGAAACTTAAAGACAAAAGTTACTTTTATGTGCCTAGTGAGGAAGATTGGAGGAGGCAAAAAATATTGTTGACAAGTTGGAAATGTTTTATAATCTTATTAAATTGTTTTTAGGCATAAAGTATCCTCTTGCAAATTATTTTTTTTGTCAAAGTTTGTAAACTTTGAATTGCAATTGTGAATTGGATGTGCTCTGATGATATGACAATTAGTGCAGTGGCAAAGAAAATGTTTGATAAGTATTTTGATTAGTTTGAAAAATACTAGAAGGATATTCATATTGTGTTAGTTGTGGCGATTATCTTGGATCCTAAGTATAAAATGAAGGTGGTTGAGTATTTTTTTTCCTAAAATTTATGGTGGTGCTGCAACTTATGAGATTGAAGAAGTTAGGAAAACTTGTTATGATTTACTTCAAAAATACTAGAGTAGATCCACCAATCTAAAACTATAGTTTTCTTAGAGTTCATTAGCAATAACATTTGATGAACCACCCGAACTATATGAATGTATGTTGTATGAGTATCTTAATTGTTCTACTGATGGGCATGTGAAGTCAGAATTGGATCATTATTTAGAAGAAAAAGTTTTTCCATTTATGAAAGTTTTTGATATTTTGAGTTGGTGGAAGACAAATGGGATAAAGTATCTCATTTAGCAAATGATTGCCAGAGATTTTCTTACTATTCCTATTTCTACAGTTGCATCTAAAATAACCTTTAGCACTGGCGGGAGAGTGGTGACTAACCATCGAAGTAGGCTTAAACAATACACTTTAGAGTCATTGATGTGCAGTCAAAATTGGTTGAGGAATGAAACGAAAGTTAAGTAAAGTCATTATATTTTTATTTCATTTGTTTTCTATAAAAAAAAATTATCTATTATCGTAAGTGTTATATACATTCTTATTTTTTTTTATTTGTGTAGGATCATGTATAACAATTGAAGATTCAATTGCCTTGCTTGTTGACACTGTCACAGAAGAAGATGATTGAATTGTTCATGAACTTGCCTTGTTGTCAATTTGTATGTTGTTTAAGTAGTTGTTTGGATATTTATTTTTAGTTATTTAAGTTTATGTTGCTGTTGTTTGGGTATTTGTGTTTAGTTATTTAAGTTTATGTTGTTTGTTGGGATCTTTGAATTTAGTTATTTAAGTTTATATTGTTATTTGGATATTTGTGTATAGTTATTTAAGTTTATGTTTAAGATATTTGTTTTTTATTATTTAAATTTAAATTTTATTATTTATGTTTTTATTAATTTAATTAGTAGTTAATTATATGAAATATGTAGAGAAATATTATTGTATATGTATACGGGGTTAGGGTAATTAGGTACCCATAAAGAAGATTTTAATAATTTCTTATCTAATTGGGTTTTTAAATGGGTTAAGGTAATTATAGGGTAGTGGGAATGTATTAAGGTTAGGGTTAGGGTAGTAATGGTTAAAATTATTCAGGTAATTAATAGGGTTATGGTACTTAATTTTTAATAAGGTTAGGGTTCGAGTACCTCAAAATTAACGGGTACCCTAGCCGTTGACAACCTTAGCTGTTATTAGAATATCATGGTGTATTAGGTTAGCAAGAAGGAATAAAGTGAGAATAAAATAGCTGATAACTCTATGATATAAAGTTATTTAGGCTTAATTTTGATAGTAATTTAGCTTAGTTTTTGTAGTAATATATAAAAATTAGTAAATTTTATTTAATTATTTTAAATTAGTTAATTTAGGTGAGTCAATCCAATTTTAGTTAATTTTATACTTAATTTGGTGTTAATGTGGTTAAGATAGGTTGTTATTAATTTAATTGTGTTTTTGTAGATATTTGATGAAA